ATAATTTTCATGCACCAAAACTAACGAATATGCATATGTTTTCTTCTCCTATTGAAGTACTAAAAAAAATTGTCATTATTTTGGCAGTTTCTATGTGCTGTGCTGCTGCTGTATCTTTGAAAGCTGCTGTGGACCAATGTTTGGTGGGCCACCTGGACCTCCTGGGCCCCCTCGCTTTTGATCGTCTTCCTTTTCCATTTTCCATCGTTGCAATGGATATTTGGAGTTAGTTGATTTAAATAAATTAATAAAAATTAGGGGGACATGTGTGATTTATTTTGTATGTCGTGTATTTTTTTTAATGAGAAAAAAAGAAGAGAAAAGTTTATTTAAATTTGTGGATTAGTTTGGTTTGGTTTGGTTTAGTTGGAATGAACTTTTCTTTGCTATGTTGTGGAGTGTTGTGCTATTATTTGAGGTATTTTTTTATTTTTTTATTTAAAAGATTATAAATATTAGTTAAATTATTAAAAATACATAAAATATTAATTAAAATTGATTATTTATGATAATTTACATTTTTAGATCTTGAGTTGCTAGAAAAAGTGCTGTGTGTAGTAGTCCCAAATAAAGTTTTTGTTTTTAGAAGGTAAAATCATTTTCTCCTTAATTCTAAGAATTAAATATGTTAGTAATTAAGTAGTATTTTATAAGTTATGTATAATATTAAAATTTTAAAATTATTATTTTAAAAAATTAATTTTATTGTATACACTGAACAAATATAGAAAATACACTCTTAAAATCACCTGAAAGAGATTAGTCTCAATTAAATAAATAAATAAAACATTTTCTCCCCACCTTTTTTACCAAAACTTAAGTTTCTTATTTCGTGTAGATCTTTTTCACATAATATTTTATTAACAATGGTAAATTTGTTATTCTTAGATATTTAATTTTAATTAATTATATATTTTTATCAATTTTAATTATTTTATATATTTTTAAGATAATATATCACAAAAGAATTTACAGCCACAACATAACACTCCCAACCGAAGGCTTAGATTCTTCATAAGGCTGCTCGGAACCATTCAATTCATTGTTTTAGCCATTTAGTTCATTGCTTTTGTCATATCTCTTTTGTACATTCAGAATTCAGTTTAGAATACATATTTATATATTACAAAACTACTTAAATCATTAAAATAATTCTGTACATTTATACAGATACTTTCTTATTCAACACATCTTACAGTATAATTATTAAAAAATTATTATTTTCTTATATAAAGTTAAATACTAAAAAACTTAAAAGACACATACATATAACATGTTAAAAATTAATTGTATTTATATTATATTTTAATAATATTTTAATAACTAAATCAGTAAAATATCAACATATATATCAAATTAAAAGATATCTTAATCGTTTTCTAATTAACATACAAAAGAGTTATAAACAATAATTCAAATCACATTAAACAAAAACATAATAAAAAGCAGGTGCTCATAACACAACTAATATCAATTTATAATTAGCTTAAAAGTGGATGTTTCCAACCAACAAACCAACTGTTAAAAAAATAATTAAAAAAATTAATCAAATCAAACACCTTACAGAATTTCTCGATATTTCACAAAATTTTCCCTACATCAAGATTTTTATAAATATTATCTTAAAAATAAGTGAAAATTCCCAAAAAATAAAGTTTCTGCACTCTAAATGCATTAAGAAACAACCCCTTAAGATGCATTCAGAAATCTTCATGATACATGAAAAACAGAGTAAAAAATGCATCAAAGCCGTTGATATCTGGAATTCTATGGATTGTATATGCAAGTTTCAGACCTTCAACAGATATGTTTGAGCATGTAAAAGAAAAAAGGATACAATAGAAGGGAACACAAAACTTTGTTATTATATTTTCGGAAATTTTCCATGTCTTCACCATGTGGAAAGTATATTACAAAAATCAGGCGCGTGATTCATTTTCTTAACTAGAATCGCACAATTGGATAGGTTCAAGAACCACAGATCGCCAAGAGCCAATGACAAAAGCAGCCAATCTAACCTTATTCTTCTTCTTCAGGTGCTTCTCTCAACCACTGCAATAATCCAATCGTTGTATTTAAAATCATACAAGCCACATATAGGAATCCTTCTTCATTTTTCCCTTTTTTTTTTTTTTTTTTTTTTTTTTGCATTTTTATGTTTATTCCTTCAGAATGAGAACTGAATTAAAACCCAATTATGTCCCAATAAACATAAAGAAATGAAAAACTCTTACTTGAATGAATTTTTCCGACTGCTTAATAAACACTTTATCTGATTCATCAGCCCCTTCCTTTTCATCAGCCCACCTTAAAATAGCATCTTCTTGTAGAATGTCTTTTTCATACAGAAGATGCAAAATCTATAAAGAGAATCCAGTAATTCGATTGTCAGAACACAATAGAATGCAATTTTTCCACTAGCAATCTTTCAAGCCATCATGGCAATTAAGATAGGAAACAAGAAAAATAAACTAAAGGATAAATTTCATGCTCGAGTCTCTAGCCAGGATTTTAGAACAGTCCCCTCCCCTTTCCTCCATTTCCCTCAAACCAACCCCTTTCTTCATTTAGTTAAAGCAAAAAATAATAATAATAAATAAGGGAAGCTTCTTCCCTTCAATTTTATTTGTAACGGAATAAAGAAAGTATCTCCCCTCCCTCCCCTCCCCTCCCCTCTATTTCCCTCAAACCAAACACATACTTAAATCTCTTATGGCGCATGCTTTAATCTAAAATAATACTTTGTAAAAGCTTCATTCTATGCTTATGCTGCTTTTTTTTTTCCTTTTTGGTCATCAAAACAGGGCATCCATGTGCGGTTTGGTTAAACACAACTAATTCTTCATAAAACCACATAATGCTCACAATGAGAGGAGTATTATAAAATATTGCTTAACATACAGCACATATTGAAAAGGGGAAGAAGGTAGAGATGCAGCATCAGAAGATTTCCCATAAGTTGACCAAATCTCACCATGCAGAATTTAACCCATGGCAAGATTATCACTCTCATACAACACCCTGAATCACAATTAATATGATGCTAGCAAACTTTTATTGTTATAAAAAAATATTGTTTAACCATGATCTTCCCAGCAAATAGTAGGATGAACCACCAACTCACTATGTAACAAGTTTAAACCCCATGTTGGAGTGCACAGTGATTGGATGCAGCTAAGGGGAAAGAAAACATGGCTACAGATTATGCCAGCAACACCAGAATATGCTAGACCTCATATCTTAAAGCTGAATATATGACTGATCTTTTCTAAAGAAAAATCATTAGACAACATACCTGCTGAAACAATGGAAAGAACTCCTTAGCAGATTCCAGACACATTTCTTCAAATTTGAGAATCACTTCAATCTGTGAAGTATAAAACCATAGATGTTAACACAAACTTTAACAAAGAAACAAGCTAAGTTCCTTATCATTCAACTTTTTGATTTCATTAACAAGTTTTTAAAGATAACAAACTGACAATCATATCAACAAACTAACATACCTTTCATATTATAAACAAGCCAAAATAAAAAAATGCAGCGAATGTTTGATGCATAAAGTGCATTTAAGAGAAATTGTAGATGACAAATTAAATTTTGAAAAATAACAATCCAAGTTGGACTAAAATAGATGACATAAAATCAAGGGTACATATCACATAGGTTAAAAGAACATCATGAACATGAGAATATGGAAAAGAAGCACCCATTGGATGATGAATAACCAAATAAGATGTAGTATTCCATGATAAGTATTATTTGCATCAGCATATGATTAATTTAGAATATATTTTAAAACCAGAAAATTGTTAGAGAAGGCATTAGAATAAAACTATTGAGAATGAGAATGCATAATACAAAAAGTGCCCTAGATTTTATCTGTAAAGCTATCAGCAAAGTCCCTTTGTTAAGATTAACAGTCCCGAAAAACAAAGTAAATGGTCAATATCAAAAGAATACAAACCCCTTCATCTATATCACGAACAAAGGACTTCAGAAGTTCTTGCCATGATGTGATGACATTAGCAGCATTTTTAAGCAATTCACCTGAGAGGTAGATCAAAGAACTATTAGTTGTATCCATGCTATACATAAAGATAACTACTGATTGTTAACATGTGTGTGTGTGTGTGTGTGTAAACTGCATAGGATATGATGAAAAGAAAAAGAAATAAACAAGGAGAATAAAAGAGGAATGGTAGTGCCACACCCACAACATTTTTGTAAGGATGCATTTGTGCAGGTGCATCCTTCTCATTCAAACAATTGAACCAAGCAGAAATATGCAGGAAAAATACCAGCAACTATCAGATATGGATATGGTTTTATAAATATTTTTTTCACCTAAAATCTATATCAAGTCTAATCATGATTATCTTTCATAGCAGATGCAGCAATCACCATAACTAGTATGTGCATACACCAGAGCACAATTGATAACCTAAAAGAATAAATGGGAAAGGTAAAAAAAAAGATGGTTAGAAGGCATGTTTACTAGTAGAAGTATGTGGAGAATCTAATGCCAATTTCATCATTGAGTAAAAAATAGCTCCAGCACAGTCCACCGATGCCATGTTGTAGGACAACCTGATGAAGTTTGCAGAAGAGTAATAAGGTAAAACGTTACCAATGAAAAAGTTGTTTTCCTTTTTCTTTTTTTTTTTCTTTTTTTTTGGTGATCAGCATACTGGAAAAGATTAATTGAATACATAGATGCAAACACCACAACAGCTAAGTCAGAATAGGGCTTTGATGCAACAGAAGTTTAAAAGAAAGAACGGAGATATTTCATAGGAAGACAGCAAAAGGGATGTCAGGGACAAATAAGACCTAGTATTTCATATGCCAGAAGGTAGGTATAATTAGCCTGTCAGACATTTGTGGCACTAGCT